CCCTGATATTACCAAGGGTTAATTATGACATTATTGTCCATTATTTGACACTTTTGACATTATTAACCACTGATATTACTGGCCTTTCAAAGTTACTAAAACTAACATAGTTAGGCAGTTCATGCCCGGTCACATATTACCAGAGGTTAATAATTACATTATTGTTATGATTATTATTTGACACTTTTGACATTATTAACCACTGATATTACTGGCCTTTCAAAGTTACTAAAACTAATATAATTAGGCAGTTCATGCCCGGTCACATATTACCAGAGGTTAATAATTACATTATTGTTATGATTATTATTTGACACTTTTGACATTATTAACCACTGATATTAGGCCTACTGGCCTTTCAAAGTTACTAAAACTAATATAATTAGGCAGTTCATGCCCGGTCACATATTACCAGAGGTTAATAATTACATTATTGTTATGATTATTATTTGACACTTACATGTGTCATTATTATCCCCTGGTATTGCTGGCCTTTCAAAGTTACTGGAAACTAACATACTTAGGCCGTCCATGTTGGGCTGGCTGTAGTAGAGGCACTTTTCAAGCGGTTTGGCTATCATTTATGATCTCAGATTCTCTGATTCTCGGATGATTCTGGGATTGATTATGATTCGAGACTGATGTGATAAATGGAGCCTGGTGCCCACCGTTACATGCGTTACCAATGTTAAATAACAAACCCACGCAGACAATTCGACGTGGTCCGAAATGATACATACGAGCATGCTTTCCGTGCACGTAGCTACAGTCACCATTATTGTATTGGTGCAGTGTTACGCACTGAGCTGTATATAATAACTGGTTATTATACAGAGCTCTATCATGCACGGTTCTCTGCGCGAGAGAGAAACTATATAGCCTCGAATTTTAACCGTTTGTTCTCTCAGCAACGCCTGCATGCATAAATCATGGTCTGCGGGCGCCGCTCTAGCTGGGAAATGTACGGACTAGTTACGTAATAAACACGGACTCGCCGAGATTAAACTGTTTTAATTGGCAGTCCGTATATAGTCCATGGTTAGCTAGTACGTAGGTGTCCGTATATTTTGCTACCGACAGTAATAAGCCAGTTCGTAGTTAGAACTTAGCCACAAATTCTTCCGGGTCAGGTCATTTGCGACAAAATATTTCGTCTTTCGACCGTACAGTACACATACGCATGCATCTGTGTCGTTGTAATGCTACAGTCTTCGCGTGTGCACGTACACGTGCGTGCGTGCGTGCGTGCGTTCGTGCGTGTGCACGTACACGTTCGTGCGTGCGTGCCTGCCTGCGTGTGCACGTACACGTACGCGCGCGTGCGTGCTTTCGTGTGCACGTACACGTGCGTGTGTGCGTGCGTGCGCAAGTACAGGTGCGTGCGGGCGTGCGTGGGCACGTACACGTGCGTGCGTGCGTGCGTATGCACGTACACGTGCGTGCGTGCTTGCGTGTGCACGTACATGTTCGTGCGTGCGTGCACGTGCGTGCGGGCGTGGGCACGTGCACGTGCGTGCGTATGCACGTACACGTGCGTGCGTGCGTGCGAGCGTGCGTGTGCACGTACACGTGCGGGAGTGCGTGTGCACGTACACATGCGTGCATGCGTGCGTGCGCACGTACACGTGCGTGCGTTTATGCGTGCGTGCGCACGTACACGTGCTTGCGTGCGTGTGAACAGGGGGCGCTAGTGTGCGTGAGCCCACTTACACGTACGTACAGCAGGGGGCGCTAGCGTGCGTGAGCCCACACGTACGTACACCAGGGGGCGCTAGCGTGCGTGAGCCCACTTACACGTACGTACACCAGGGGGCGCTAGCGTGCGTGAGCCCACTTACATGTACGTACACCAGGGGCGCTAGCGTGCGTGAGCCCACTTACACGTACATACACCAGGGGGCGATAGTATGTTACACGTACGTACACCAGGGGGTGCTATAATACGGAAGGATTCAGATTCTTTATTCTTTATTTAGCACATATTAAACTTAGTTAACAATACTGCATGTGTATGATAGTTATAACGTGAGAGTGCACACGACATAGGACACTTACAAACATAGATAGATAGATAGTGGTTTGAGGTAGATGTAGTGGGGAATGAGGGAGGCGATGGTGAAGTGTGGTGTGGTAAGTTCTTACATGTCGGATCTTCTATGTTGCAGAATTGTATATAGAGAACGCAAGCCAGAAGAACAGAAACCCCAACACTCAGAGGTACTCAGATGTTTTTTTATATATAAATATATCATTGTTATGTCGTTCGCTGATTATAAGGTCATGTATGTGTGTAACTATGTAGCCACATAGATTTATATATATATATATATATATATAGAGAGAGATCTATATATAGTTGTATGCTGTCATATAATTATTGTCTTCACCATATATATATAAATGTTATATTATATTATATTCTATATGTGTGTGTGCGCACGTGTCTGTGTGCGTGTGTGCTTGAGTACGTGTGTGTGTATATTTATTTACATATAATTGCGAATGTTTGCTAGTAGCTAGTATGCGTAGACGACTCTCTCCCCCCTAGGGGGCGCTGATCACTAACATTTCCGCCACCAGGAGGAGGAGGGCTGCCCCGCGCACAAGACGATGTGTCGCATCCTGTCTACAGAGGACAGCTGGTCGCCGCGTGGCAGCGGCGGCAGCGACAGCGCCACCTGCTGTGTGGAGGACGTACTACAGCTGCTGCGGCTGCTCTACAGTATCTCGATCGACCTCGGCCATCTGCGCCACAAGCACGAAGGTAGTAACGCCCTCTGGTGGCGTCGCAGCAGCAGAAGCGCAGTTCTCTCAGGTACACCGGGGTAGGGTGGGACGCCGGCGCATGTGGGTCACGTATGGATCCCTCTGTAGGCGGTGTTCTGAGGCGTGGTCAACAGCGCGTGCTCTCGCCTTCTGAACAACACTGCACGGTTGCTCGCCAGGCTCCCGAGACTGTTCGCGCAGCGCGCGAGTTGTTTTCAAGATGGCGACGGGCAATCTGGCGAATGCGAATCTAACAATCAATCGATCAATCCATCAATTCGGGCAGTACCAAGCACCGGTCGGTGTCTTAGCGAAGGCGCAATTACAATCATGGGCAATCGGTCGAAAGAAGGCATATCAATTTCGTCTGCTAATTCGTTTAACAGTACTTGTTCGAAGACGCGATTAAAATCTGCTGAGGAAGCCGCCATCTTGGATCAAGCGAGCGCTCGGTGTCGTTCAAGTGGCGCTGCGTTCGTGCTGCGAGCGTTTGCGCTGTTGAACACGGCTCTGCATTTGCTCGCGCTTGAATGGCCAGTAAACGTACACGCGCACATGCGTGCGCATATAGGTGCATAGGTATATGTGCATCCACGCAATAATCCATGTATAATGCTCACCTGTATACACTTTAAAGCACGGTGGTACACGCACGCACGCACGCACGATACGCACGCACGCATGCACGCACAGGTACAGGGGCTAATCTAGCTGCTTATGCATTTCTGATGCTATACGGTGTTTACTGCGGGCGCTGCTGCATCTGTGCTGCTATAGGGGGCGCTGTTGTACCTGTGTGGCAATAGGGGGCGCTGCTGTATCTGTGTGGCTATAGGGGGCGCTGCTGTATCTGTGTGGCTATAGGGGCGCTGCTGTATCTGTGTGGCTATAGGGGGCGCTGCTGTATCTGTGTGGCTATAGGGGGCGCTGCTGTATCTGTGTGGCTATAGGGGGCGCTGCTGTATCTGTGTGGCTAGGGTCCCTATATACAGAGAGTTGCGCCAACTCAGGATTTGACTCCATGTTGTTTCCAAATGGATCCACACCGCTGCCGCTTAAGTACAGCGCTGTATGGATACGCTGTACAATGGTCCGTAGTAATTAATTAGACTAATCGTGCTTCAAAAAACTCAAAAACGCAGCTAGGTGAGTTGATTACACGTGTACATTAAGACGCA